AAACTCAAATTCCTCAAAAGAGGCCAGTCTTACATGACGAGTAGAGACTAGATGAGCCCCTGAGATTATTGCTCTGGGATACCTTTAAACTTGGAACTCAAACCTTTCCCAGAGATCATCTTTCACCCAAATGACCGATTGGCTCATAAATAATATCACCTCTGAGTACTGTGCTCCTCTAAATAATCATCTAAATGAAACCAAACGGTAAAAATTTTCCCTAGACCAAAGATTAGATGGTAAGGGGAAACCAGTACACTAGATTAAGGGAAACAGAACAACCAGAATGGAAATAACAAGAAAGCTGATATATTGTGAAAAGTGTATCCAATGTCACTGAACAATGTGTATAGAAATTGTTTAATAAGAACCTAATTCGCTGTGTAAACTTTCACCAAAAACACAATAAAATTTTTTTTTAATTAAAAAAAAAGATGTCCCTAAAAAGTGGTTATTTAGAAGACAAAACATGAATCATACTTAAATAATTCTGATTTACCCCTAGACATGTAAGTCTATTAGAGGGAATGTCCTTTTACTCTGCTAGAACAAGAGGCCCAGATTAGCTCTCAATGGAATGTATGAAGTACTCAGTCCTAAAGTGTGAATCATAATTATTTTTTTTGATGTCCTGCATGTAGGCAGCAACATACGAGAACGGTTGAAGAGCATTTTGCGGAATGGACAAATTCGAGATTGGGTGAAGTCCAGGGCTGCATCACAGGAATCCTAATTTTAGAAGAGATGCAGCATATGTTGACTCCTGGAAGCAGCTCAGAGGAAGAAACTGGAGATATTTCTTTAGCTTTTGTCAATGAGCCAGATTATTGCTTGAGTATCTGCCCCCAGAAAGTGCCCAGGGACCTTTATTGGAAAGGAGGCCAATAAGGTATCCCAAATGGTCTTCGGATGCCTATAACCCAAAGAGGGGCTAAGAAAACACACCTCTTGGTAATGGGAAATCTGAAAGTTCAGGAACTTCAAGTGCTATTTCACTCCCAAGCTGAAGGACTAATAGAATGAGAATACCTTTCTAGGGTCACTGAGACCCAAGTCTCAGATTACTCTAAAAAAAAAAAAATTTTACCCAGGTGCTATAAGTTTCTAAGAGTTTCAAAAGAGTTTTCTGATGATAAATAAATGAAAGGACTTGAATTACTTCCAACCCACAAAATTAAATTAGCCTGATGCCATTAGTAATAGCATGCAACCATTTCCTGTGTGATACATAGGTATCTGTATGCTCTCTTTATGGAAGACGCAGGCCTGGATGGTCTTTAATTGGGGGAAAATATATTTTATGGAAATCCGTTGAACTTGATGCTACATTTGAGAAAGAAAAGTAATATAAATTTTATCATTCTCTGTATGTTACTAGTTAGCCACACTGTTGAATTTTTAAGATCTATATTGCTTTAGCTGGTAAGAATTTAGAATTTTCTTGTCCTTCGATAGGATATTAACCTAATTTATGCTCTGGGTACCATTCAGGGAAGACTATGGGAGGTAAACTGTATTCAACTCTTGGGTGAGCTTCCTACCAGAGAATTGGATTGGAATTGTTTTTGTATAAGAAAGGCTAATAATATTATAATAATAATAGCAGTAATTTATTGCCCATCTATGTCCCTGGTACTGTACTGGGTACTTCCATTCATGATGTAAGCCATTTGTTTATGTATAATCCAGGAGTGCTATGTTACTATTTTTTAAAAATTCCAGAGATGCCCACTACAAGCTCAGATTCTGAACATCTACATAGTTATATGTCCATCTTCCTATACCCCTTCTACTTTGTATGATAATTATTTGAATGCTTAACTTATCTCCCATATTAAACTATAAACTATTCACCTTTACATGTCTCACAGTGCTAGTGCCCTGCACTCAGTATATAAGTACTAAATATAGTTGGTGAATGAATAAATTTTTCTCTTGATCAAAGTCCTCCAAAAGTTAAGCACAGCAGTGGAATAGAATATTTCAAGGCAGTTAAAAATACAGAAGTAAGCAGTCATTCCAATCAAATAAGTAAATAGTACAATATCAAAGATAACAGGAGATTTCAATATTTTTGTATAGAAGCAAAAATGAAAAAAAATTATTGTGCTCACAGGAAGTAATAACTATGGCTGCCAATTTAGCAAATTAATTTTTCCATTGCTAAGCTTGTTAATGAAAAATGTTACTTTCTGTCCTAAAGGAACCTCCACAGTGTGAATGTCTCATAAGTATAATGTTTTATCCAACAGGTATTTGTATGCTGACTTCCATTAGGCCTTTCTTTGAGGTAAATTTTAGACTGCCAGTTTCAAACGATCATCTGTAGTTCTAAAGCTGAAATTTGCAAAGGTGCAATTAGGAGGGGTCAAAAAAACCCACCAGTGTCCATAATACAAAATGCCAGTGCTGTTAACAAATGTGATAATATTTAAATAATGCACTTCCATTGACACCCAAAGAATAAAATCTAATCATTAGTATGTCATCTGGATAGCAGGTGATTTCACAGGAAAGTGCTCAGACCTCACTTTAAGAATCAATATAACCAAGGCAACTCTGGGACAGAGTCAAAGATACGGGTCTCAGCTCGTGAAAAACTCCTTCTGTGCTAGAGCTATATTAAATTATCACAGCTAATGTAAAATCAACCTTGGTGTAAAAGATAAAAGGGTAAATTTCTCACCAATGATCACTTATCACTCCATTCCTAAATGCACACAGCATTCATTATAAATTGAAATGCCGCTCAAATTTCATCATTTAGTAGGGTTTTGAAACAGCCGAACCATTAACAGGAGAGAGTAGCTTTTATATTTATACAACCAGTGACTAATGAAACATTATATTCAGTGTGCAAAAAAGGGGGGAACTTTATTTTCTAACGAACCCAATTGGAGACCTTTAAACAAAGTGTAATAATATGGTTTCACTGTTTCATCCAGCCTCTTATTACTTGTGTCAATAATCCTAGGTAGACTATTGTTGAACTTCACAGCATTTATCTAGCAGCATGAATAGCATTAATCCATGGGGTGCTTTTGATGAACTGTAGTTCAAAAAGCGAAGCCAAAAATTACTTCTTACAAAGTGCTTAGAGAAGTATTTATGAGAAATATGTCAACTGCCAACTATATAAAGGTAGTTTGGCTATTTAGGAAATCATGCTGTTGGCTATGTTGCCTAGTTCACAAACACTGGAAAAACATAAATTTTACCCACTAGAATTACCTTAAAAAAATGAATGACATACTTTTCATCTAAGTATATATATATATATAGTCACCTCCTTCTAATTCTCTACGTTTTTTATGTCACATTGCTTTTGACACAATGTGGCATGCTATACAACATGTCCCCAGTTTATATTAGGTGAGTAACTATTAGGTGAGAGAAGTACTTAAGAAAGTTAAAGGCGAAATTGATTCACTGTACTTTAGTTATATCACTGAACATCCAAGTCAGCGTAAACTAAAAGCTACTTTTGGATCCTTCTCCAAGGATCTAACTTACTGTCTTGACACGCACTCAGTGGTTAAGCTTTCTTTGGCATTAAAACTTGCAGGGTGTGTCTACAGTAACTCATCTAATTTAATTCCAATTGATCATTCTTATTTGACTAGGTAATATTTCCCAAATGTTGAATTTTGCACAATCCATGAGATGCTAGATGCTACTCTCGGCTCAAGTAGTTTCAAGATATTTGTGTAGACACAGTCTAATCATTGTGTATTTCTCTTTTTCTATCCCACCAAAGTGGTATCAAGAATTGAGAGATTTTAAACACTAAGGCCATTTCAATACAGTAAAGTTTTCTAATGACTTAATATATCATTTTTCCTCCAATTTTGCCTGCATTGTAACAAAACAAGTGCCTGACAAAAATAACACAAATTGGATTTATATTTTTCCCTGAAATTAAAATCTGGGGTCTAGAATTAAACTTTACAAAGAATTAAGCTTTATCTCAAAAAATTCTTTTTGGGGAAAATCTACAACTAACTCAAGCCACTTACAGTATTCTATGATTAGATTCATAGGCATGATATCAAATAAACTTAACCATTCAATAATTCCTAGTATCTACTTACTTTCTTATAGCTATGCATTTTACACAATACTAGTTCAGAATACAGTAATATTGTGTAGAACACAATACTAGGCTCAGAAAAGGTTTCCTTGGTTTAAATATAAGCGGAAAATGTTACATTCTCCAGTGCTTCTTTCCTTGGAGATTCACAATGCACCGTAGTATATAAATATACTCAGAGAAGTCTTGCAATAAAATAGCCTGCCTAATGTTATTTATCCCAGTATATATCAATCTCATAGAAGTTCATTTCCATCTAACCATATGTTAATACTACCCTATCAACAACTCAATGTGGCCTTTCGAAGTAGGGAAACACAGATATTCTCTTCACTCTTCGGTACCAATATTTCCTTCTACTATTTTGTTGTATTATAGTATGAGAAAAGTGCAGTCAAAAGACAATTGTCTGTGGAAGCTTCAAATTACCATTCATGAAAAATTAATGCTGTTATCATTAGTATTGTACATCTTATCTTTGGTGCATCTCAATGAAATAACTATCATCTTTTGGGAAACCAGTTATAACAAATGATAAAATATATTGTATCATAATATGATCAAAATAAGCTTAAGAGAAATATTATTTTTATGATTCTGTTAGAACTAAAAGCATTTGTTTGTAAAATTTAAAGTCATCACCAAGAAATATACAAATAAACATATTAAAAGAAAACTTCACAGAAACAATTTTTATCTTTAGTGTATGCTGTAATTTTATTAGCCTGGCTTGGAACATAGTAATCATGAGTCTTGGATACATTTATATATATGAGAAGTCCTCTGGGAAAAAAAAACCAGAAAGCCTGTTTAATTTTGTTTATTGTTCTAAATATTTTGGTAAATTTAAAGTTTTTCAGGTCATTCATTATTTTTATATAATGTTTTCATGTTTTCAAAAGGTACTCACCATGTACAATGAGAACATACTCTGCGCTGCTTTGGCCAATGGTGTTTGTGGCTTCACATCGATATGTACCATTATCCGTTTTGTTCAAGAAAAGAATGTTTAATTCCCTACCACTCACAACCATTCGGTCAGGATCTGGTAATTCTCCTCCATCCTTTGTCCACAAAACAGGTTCTGGCCTATTGGATTCAAACATGCATACAGATAAGAAAAATAAGAAAATTTACATAGTCTATGAATTAAGTTAATTAAGCAATTAATATTTAACACGTATTTTGTGCATAACCAAATGCTAACTTCTATAAGGTAGTAAAAGAAGCATTATCATGTACTCACTTCAAAAGAGTTGTAAGTATGGCAAATATAATTTAATTTTATTCTAATGAATTAAGCAGATTTGTATTGAGGGGGAAATTTGTTGAGTCCCTGTTATAGTCATGCTGGTGCTTTGCCTGCTGTTCAGGTCCTGCTGCTAATCATTCACAACTGTGACCCCTTTAGGGGATGTACCTTGCCCTACTGGAGCCACTTCCTCCAAGTTACCTGGAATTAACACTCATTTGTGCCCACAACTGAGAAACAACTTTGTCTAAAAACACCTGGAGCTTCTCCCCCTGAGCTCCCTTACTTTTCTCACTTGACTAAAGATTTTTCCCCATAGTTCTCTTTTAATAAAATACTTTCAAAGAATTTCTGTCTCAATTGCTTTTAAGAAAGAAAGAAGGGTAAGTGAACCATGGGGGTCTGCCTTTAAGGATTTCAGTCTTTTATAATTGTTAATGATAAATACGGTCATTAATAATATGTGACATGGCTGCTAACCAAAAGGTCAGCAGTTTGAATCACCAGCTGCTTCCTGGAAACCCTATGGGGCAGTTCTACTCAGTCCTATAGAGTCACTATGGGTCAGAATCAACTCGACGACAACAGTACAGGTACCCTCATGTGTTTATAATGGTTGTTATTTTCTATAATATCTTCTGTAATCCTCACCAGAACCCTTTGCTGAATACTGTTTTTTTTTTTTAACTAAAGCATATAAGAATATAGAAGATCAGAGAAATATTCAAACTCTGGTCTGACTCCACAGTTTCATACTTCCTCCACTCTCCTGCTATCTAACAAGATGAATATTTCCCTAGTTCTTCTATGTTAAAATTTTCTAATTTAAACATAATTTTACCATGAAGTTTAAAATTATTCTCAAAAATGCTTTAGATATCTGTTTAATTTGGTAAAAATAATGCCACCACCACCACCAACAATTCACCATTTCTATACAGTCCAAATTATACCCCAAAATCCAAACTGTCATGATTTCCATCTCCCCATATTCATAAGCTTACAGTCACATTTAAAAGCATGTACATATATAAGTCAATTGAGACATATATTTTTAAATTGTGTATATAAAAATGTAGTTGGAGACCTGGACAAATAATTAAAGTTGTCAATCTGAATTTAAAAATTTTGTTTCCTAAAAAAATAATTGTCCATTTTCAGAAATAATAAAAAGAAAACTGCAAAAATGGTTGTTAGCAAGAGGTTGTGGTAGTGGTATAAATCACTACTGGCATTGATCATGGCCGGATTCTTGATCCTACTCTCTGCGGTAAATCTTCAAGTAGGTTAAGGAGTTAGCACCATAAGATGCAGTTATAATGAAATGGAGATTAGAGTTTATTCATAGATTAAAAATCGCCTATACATATTCCCAATTAATATTTAAAATGTTCAAGCTTCTTAATATCACCATAAAAATATTAAGTGGTTTAGCAAGTCTTGATACATTTTGTGTTTCATTTTAATAAAGAGGGCCCCTAGACTTTCTCTAATTGGAACCCAGAAATGATTGAGTTTCTTGCTGCAAATGAGTAACAATCTTCCCTGCGGTCCAGGCATCCAAAGGAGATCGTTCTAAAAGTGGCTCCAGTCTACAGTTTCTGTGTTATAAGGGTGAAAAAGAGTAGAAGTGAGACACTAGGAGTAACAGGACAGAGAAAACAGCACCAGATGTGAGATGATAATGCATACCAGTCTGCAGTGAGAACATTAACATAGTCAACCTGGAGAGTTCCCTTTTAAAAGCCTCGATAATTAAAAGATGGAAATCTTCCATACGAGATGAAATTTGATTTATGCTTCTGTCTGCCAAATCTATGACATTAAAACTATATTTCATTTTCCTATGCATCTAAAACCACTTTTGCAACAGTTTCTCCCTAAGGCCACAGAGAAGATTCAGAAAATAAAAGTGAAAAATGAAACCAAATATGCTCATGTATGTAATCTCATGTATTCTAAAGCCTTAGTGAAGTGATTTATATCTTAGCAGGATTTTTATTATTATTGTTCTCAGTGTCTTGTTTTGTACACATCTAACATGAGATTCCTCAGAACTTTTAAAAAACTCCTTAGTTATAAATCGGCACAGTGATTCAAGCACTTGGCTGCTAACCAAAAGTCTGGTGGTTCGAACCCACCAGCCGCTCTGTGGGAAAAAGATGTGGCAGTCTGCTTCCATAAAGATTTACAGCCTTGGCAACCCTATGGGGCAGTTCTACTCTGTTCTGTAGGGTTGCTATGAGTCAGAATGGACTCGAGGACAGTGGGTTTGGTTTGGTTTGGGCTTAGTTATAAATTAGTGTTAGAAAAAATTGGCACATTTCATCAGATCTAACTAATTAATGTCTTGATCAAGACATAAACCCAATTAATAATTTTCACTGAAGTCAGTCCTTGAGGCCTTTATTCTGTAAGATTATGTATGCCAGGATTACAGTCAGTCTAATTCTCCCAACTGTTTGTGGGATCATTCGCTCCGTAGTTATTGAAGAAAAGGAAAATTTGCTTTGCCTGCATATCTCTCATCCTCTTTCAGGACCATGACTGAGCTGAGGAATGAACAAGTAGTTCAGATGGAAAAGTAGGTTCCACCAGAATTCCTCTGGTGTCCTTGAAGAAGTCAACAGGAGTAAAAAGTTGACTTTCAAAAATTGGGATAGATATACTTTACCGGTCCTCCCTTTTCTTCAATGACTATGTCCCTTTTGCGTTCTGCATTGTCTTTTCTTTCCTAATCACAGCGTATGTTGGGCTCTAATACTAAAATTAATGTTATAAATAATTAAACTTACATTTCCTAAATGATAGAAAACCAAATATAAATCAGTGTAACAGCACTCATGTAAACATCTTATTCTGCTCAAAGCAGAAAGAGAAATCTGCAAATATTCTCGTCCTACATGTACTAGGTTGAATTGTGTCCCAGAAAGATATGTTCAAATCCTACCCCCCTTATGTGTGTGAATGTGACCTCATTTGGAAATAGTGTCTTTGCATATGTAATCAAATTAAGATGAGGTCACCCTAATCCAATAACTGATGTCATTATGAAACACAAAGACCAAAAGAAAGAAGAATGCCATGTGAAAAAAGTAACACAGTGATTGGAGTGATAAATATCCAAGGAATGCTAAGGATTGCTGGCAACCACCAGATTCTAGGAGAAAGGCATGGAACAGATTTTCGCTCAGAGCCTCCAGAAGGAACCAACCTTGCTGACACCCTGATATTTGACTTCTAGCCTCCACAACCGTGAGAAAATAATTTTCTATTGTTTTAAACCACCTAGTTTGTGGTAATTTTTTTACAACAGCCCTAGAAAATGAATACATTACATATTTCCTATTATAAGACAGAGCAGGGACTTAGAGTTAATAATGCTGTGCCTTATGTTCCATGTAACCACATGAAGATGCCTCCTGGCTTTATTCCAGTTTAGAAATTCCACAGGTGAGCAGCAGATACAATCGAAATTTATATATCATGAGCATTTTTTTTTTTTTAAGTTTAATTTTCCTCTATATCCTCTGGTATTTTCTCTGGAAAGAGAAGGTGGTACAAGTTACGCAGACTTCTTGGTCCCTTGTACTGTTTTCAGCAAAAACTTTTAAATCAAGAAATTGTACTGAAGAGCCTGCATAAAACTTTCAGTGTTTATGCTATCAAATATTTAAAGAAAGGGCAGGACAAAAAGTACATTTAAATTAATTGACAGGTAGCTTTGAAAGGAAGTTCAAAGTTGAAGATGTTAAGCTTATTGAGTTCAGGGAAGAAGGATCCTGAGAGAACTCTGGACAAGTCAGCTCCCAAATGGGTAGACTAAGATCACATCCTTTAACAATACATAGCCCAAACATTGCCAACTAAGTGAGGAGGAAGAAGAAAAAAAAAAATAGAGAGAGAGAGAGAAGAGGAAAAAGATTAGAATCTGGGATTGCTTGCTCCTATTTTTATTTAAAATATAAATACAAAGCAAGCTCTGGAAGAATTAGAAAGAGATTACTTGTGGGGCTACTTATTGCATTGACTGTTTCAAATTTAAAAAATATACAAATAATTATTTTGTTATTGAGGATCAAATGAGATGTTTCTGAACGTAGTTTATAAATAACATTTTACATATATGGAAAGTCATATTCTTTGTTAAGTATTATAAAACTATTGCTCTAGGCCCTTGGGGAGCACATCAAACTGTGATTTTTCTCTTGATTTGATTGTTGTGCAAATTAATTGTAATGAAATGTGTTTTCTTTTTAATCCTGATATGATTTCTTACTTTTTATGGACATAATTCTTAAAACTTCAAATTATTTTTCATATAAGCAAAGTTAACCTTAAGTGTTTTACTTATCACAATATAGACTCATTTTAAAACAATCAATGAAACATTTTATGTGTCTGCCTGTCTTCATAGACCTCATTTTGCTGTAAGGGAAAACAAAACTTCAGAAACACTTATAGTCGAGTAGCCTTCAGTGAGTCTCAATGGCTCTAATTACCAGAAAATGATCTACTCTTAAACTTAAATCTTAAGACAGATAAGGGATCAATGGAGTTTTGTTGTGGTTGTTAGTTATACCTATACATTCTTGACTAGGCACTTCATAAATTTATGTAATTATCAAACAATTATCTATAAATTTGCAAGTTTTTGTGCAACTTTTTAAAACAGAGATTATGAGGAAAGTAAAATAAGTTTCTTATCTGTGTGATATAATGACATATGTCATAAACCATAATACTTGGCAGGACGTACTAAGCAACGTACTCACTGCTGTTGAGTCAAGATCTGACTCATAGCGACCTCGTAGGACAGAGTAGAACTGCCCCATGG